ATTGGCTGTCTTCCAGTTGATCTTGGTTCCCATCCTGCTATTTCCTGTCTCTATTTTATTTGGTGGTGGCTGTGATGATGTTTCTTGATTCGCATTATTTTTATTTCCCTTTTCACCAATATACTTCTGTTCAAAATCGCTGCGCATTATGCAATAGATTTTCGAGTAGTCTCCTGTCTATTTTCTTATGTTGTTTAGATAGACTTGGGAAGTTTTGTTTTCTCCTTTGTGATCAGTCGAATAATCCATTTTCCTAATATCAGTGTTAGTTTCCGAGTTACTTCGCATAAGGGTGGACATACCCACTTTTGTGCCAATTTCCTAATCCCCCTTTTTCTCCGATGATCCCCTTCTTGCCATCTGCTTCCTACGACCCACTTGTTTGTTTATTGCACGCACCTAGAAAAATTTTTCCAATACTTCTCGCTAGAATTTCACGCCTGTTTGCTTTATACTTCTGATAATCATGCTCTTCATTAATTTTATATTTAATTGTGATGGGATTAAAAGTTGAGGATTATTCCTGCATGCGATTACTTCCTGAATAGTCTTCTCCTGAGTGTCCCAGTGGAGCTAATGACTTCGACAGCTAGAACTAGTAGCCACCCCTCATTCTTCACCTTTATCTGAGTTTACTTCATTTATCAAGCTTGTTCGCAAACCTTAGAAATTCTTCTAAATTTTATCGAAGAAAACAGGGTTTCTGCAAACCACTTAGTGATTTGTTGGGACATGACATTTCGTTTCAAAGGAAAAGTTGGTTGAAAGGAATTCAGCAATTGTTTTCATCTGAAAAGGAAAGAGGATTTTCTTTGAATGAGAACTATTTGGCATTTCAAACTGATTGGACACAGAATACGCAATGCTCTGTGTAAAAAATTGAAGAATCAAATCTTTTATTATTTAACCACTTCCTTTCATTAATCAACCTCCCCCATGTACACGAATGTATATTAGACATGAAAAGCCAACCAAATCATGGGATGCCTTATTAGGAACGTAAAGTTGGGAATTATAAGTGAGTGTGATTACAGTGGGCCACCTGTGCTTTTAGGCTTATTGTATTTGGTACTATTTCTCGCAAAGTAATGCTTTTTCGTTCTGCGGATGCCTATTACATGACAGACAAAAGTTTAGCATTGATTTATCGAAGTTGCAGAACAATGGGCTGAGGATTTCTATGCACAAACCAGCAGTCTTCACTCCAAGGCAATCCTCCTCCGTATATAAGAACTCTATTCACTAATTTTGTTTAAGATGATGAAAGACTGTTAGTTGAATTTTCCTACAATAGATGAATAGGCCTCACGTTTTCATCGAATTTCACATGGCCTTGCTTTCCAAAAAGTATTCTTATCCAGGGTGGGCTGCAGTTCTGACCTCTTCTAGGCCTCATCAGCACCACCAGCAAGACTCGAATCCATATAGTGCGGCGTACAGCATCCATACCTTAACCATTACGCCGCACTGCCAGGAGTTGCCTCGGGCGACAGGGTAGACTTTAAGTTCAATGATAGCTAGGCATCGAAAAACCTACTTATAACTAAAATTCCTTCTTAGGTTTACAATGAGACCAATTCACAAATTTCTTTCCATCTACACTCCCTTCGAAATGGAAACTCAGGTCAAAATCTTCTAAATTTTCCCTTCCATACGACCGAAGCGCAAATTATTCATCCAAGCATTGCATGAGCACTCTCGGTTGTAGCTATGATATATCGAATTTCTCTTCTAACTTGTTCATCTGTACAATTGCTACAGGAGGTGAGAGTGATTAA